ACCTGCCTTTGCAGCCAAGGCCCCTGGCGCAGCGTACGATTTCCATAGGACGAGAGAGGCTCATGCCAGAACAATCACTTATCCCAGCGGAGCCGTGTAAAAAGCCACCGGGCGTCCTTTCACCGGAGAAAGGTCGTCCGTTATCAGGAGGACATCAGGCGCCAGATTGTAACGATATTTGCCTGTGATCAAGATCTCGCAGCATTTTTCGGAGGCGGCCCATGGCCCCGTGAGATCGAGGCACCGTTACCGGGCGGCTGGCTGGAGCTGGACCGGGCGCCGTCTCCGGGATCGGGTTCGAGCCGGTCGCTGCCGTCGAGCGCTCCCACGTGACTGTTCCCACGCGGCGCCGTCGAGAGCGTGGCCGACCGGTGCCGCGCCGGCGACCGTCGGTCGGCTCGCGCGGACCGCGCCCGACGCGCTGGGACGCGCTGGGGCGCCGCGAGCCGCGAGCTGCGCCGGCCGTCAGCGCCGGTGGGGATGACGCCGCGGAACTGGCGGCGCTGGTGCTGGCGCACGCCGCGCTATCGGAGGACGTCCGGCGCTGCTGCCAGCCGCCCCGGCTGTCGCCGTGTAATGGGGTCAGCCGAACGAAGGACGGAAGTCATGAGCAGGCGTCGTCCCGGCACCAAGGTCATGCGACATGGTCCTCCCACCTCGACCCGGCGCATCCTCAGCCCCCTCCTCCGCCTCCCTCATAAGGGTCGCGCGGCGTGGGCCTTCGCTTCATGACAAAGCTTTGTGGAAGGGGGGGGGGGGGGCGTTCTTGCGGCTGAGGTTCCACCGTAAATGAGCGCCGTTAGCTCGTAACTGCTCTGCGGGCGGCGCGGCGTGATGAAGCGCTCGGACGGGGTTGGGGCAGCGGGGCGACCTTGGCTTGCGATGAGCCGCGGGGCCGCGGAGCCCGGCGCCGGGAAGTGCCACAGGACTCTAAATAACCGATAACACCGCCACCGCCCGGACTGGGCTGACAGGACGCATGTCGGCCACGCTTACGGCATAGGAGGCATCGAGCGTGATGCCTCAGAGCGGACGTCGACGGCGGAGTTGGTGAGTCAACACAGCAGCTCGGACCCCGCCTTTATCAGGAATGAGGTAACCACTGATCCTCTGACGCGTGTAGAAAGCGGATGCATTGAGCTAAGGATCTTTCGCTGCAGACATAAATAATTGTGGTCTGGCACACAGTGAAGCCTTCGAGGCAGGCCTACAAAAAGCTGACTTGGCAAATAGCTGATGTTTCACGTCAGCATGGGATCTGTTGTTTCATGCGAGCATGGGATCTGTTGTCTCACGTGAGCAGGAGATCTGTTATGGCAGATCACAAGAAAAATATTTTGTAAACATGAAGCAAAGGACAAAAATCACGGTATGAGCTCTACCGATGACGATCTCCGTGGCAGGTGCGGCGAACGCGATAGGCATAAGTGCTGTTATCAAGACACTGATGAACTTGAGGTTTGCTCATCGATAGGACCGAGCTCCCAAAGGTCTCCAACTTACATGACCAAGGCTACGTTGGGGTCACTTCTCATACTGACACTTCTGCCTATTCCAAAACGCTGAAGAGGATTTTTGTTTTGAGCAATTTGATATGCGTCTGAAGCTGTGCATCTTCCGGCGCTACCTGTCCACGACTTCCAAAGCTAGACCTTACAATCACACGCTCCCCGACATGCTCGTGTTTGGCGGCGATGCTGATGCCTTCTCGTAAAAGAAAAACAGCAAACTGTACCATCAACTCGGCGTCAAACTATGAGCTACGTAAGCGTAACTCTGACAAGGCAAACCTGAACATCAAAATACCATGTCGATGCCATCCCAGTGTTCAACAAATAAAATGGGAGCCAGGCCTCCAGCACCGTGCTCAGTGCTGGAGAGCAGCCGGCTTAGGGACCCGCTGAGGTCGGACCGTGTTTGGTGGTGTGGGTGGGGGTGGGGGGGGGGGGGAATGGTGGCGGTGCGGCCGCCCACCGGTGTCCAGCGGCACGCTCCGACCGCACCAGCGGAGATCGTGTGCCGAGCCGATACCGCTGCGCGAAAGCGCCCCTGGGCGGAAAGCGGGCGCAGCTGAAGCCCTGGGAGACACCTTTTCCAGTGGAGCGAGGAGCGAAAGGAGCTGAAGAATGTCCGCACTGCAGGCTTTCAGCCGGGGCTCATGCGACATGACTAGCGCAGACTTGCCTATCAAAAGTGAAAATACGTACAGTCATATATAAATGTAAGCCTATATGCGGGGTTGGTGACGGCCAGATTGTCCACAGCTGTGGTCGCTGAGCCATCCATCTTAGAGATAAGACCTGAACATGAGCGTGACTCATGCTGTCAAGCACGCCGCCAATTGCGACGTTATCCTCTGTCTTAGGTAAGCCGTTAGATCCGTGTTTACCTGCAGAAAATGGTCATCAAACCCGTCTGCTTAAGACATGGTCAGCGGCGTGATAAGACTGGTGCCGCTGCAGCGGTGCGATGAAGCGAGCATTGGGCCGACTGAAGACCCGCGGCAGGGGTCCCGCCCGCTCATGCAGAGGTCGTATGAAAGTCAGAAGAGGGTAAACAAGGTGTCCGAAGACACCATAAGGAATCCGATATTTAGTGTATGCTTTGTTAGAGTAAGTCAGATAGAGTTAGAACACGCAGTCTCGCAGAGCATGCACGATCGTGGTGTCAGACAGCTGATCGGGTCAAGATTAGCTTAAGCCTATACCTAACACGTCTACTTGCATGCATATGACCGTGAGGAGTAGTGGCGCAACCAGAACTTCCCTAGGAAGGGACCCGATCAGGTCAAAGGGTGCGCGTTTGGTCAAGAATGCCCGCTTCGCTCCTGTCGGTGCCCTGCTTCCTAACTCAGAGGACGTTTTTAGGCTCATTCCTGACCCGGAAGTGACAGCCTGAGCAAACACCATTTATTGACATAATCAGTGGGCTCATGTAAACCTCTCAATTGATGCGCGTTGTCAGCGGCGAGACCGGGAATGTTGTGTAACACGATAACAGAGATACACTACATGTACACTGCAGATGTAAGACACTAGATGCAACAATGTAGACAAAACACTAGATGAAACACTACAACTAATTTTGAAGCACTATAACACAGCCTTATAACTTCATTCGAGGACACAGTCATTCGTATGGTTACTGAAAGGTGCACACAATGCACCAGGAATGGAAACCAAAACACCGCAAAACACATAATCACGATCTCATGAACGGTAGCTACCGCCCAGCGCCCGATAACTCAAGAGTTGTGGAAGAATTTGTCTGCGTAGTGCTGGGGAGAATTCGTTGATGGACATGCTCCCGGGTTTGGAGACATCTTTTGTCACCGCATGACCAAAGGATGTTATCTATACAATCTGATAATCGTAATCTAATCGTAATCGCAATCTGATAGTCGCAGGCACATGTAATATCCGCAAGTCCTTGGCTACAGTGGCTTTGTGCACATTTCAGTCAGCATGCGGACGAGAGCGCTTTTTCTTCAGCATATTGGATGTGGGATCGACTGAGAGGTAAACCCCACAGACAACACACCCTTGTAAGCTCTGGAGGGTGGTGAAATTACCAATGCTGGTCAGGACTTAAAGGAAGTCTCCCACCTTTTTGTGATTTTCACTTGTTTTTACATCAGGCGTGTACGATTTAGTCAGCACGACCAGTTTTCTCAAAATCCGTTTTACGATTTGAATTTCGATTTGAAGTAGCCGACTTTACGGAAGAAATCTCATGTGACTCCCTGGCTGAATAAGACATGAAACACTATGAAAGTAATACATTTCATTTGCCTTGCTTTTTCCAACGTGTGTGTTCTGCAATGTTGGCGACACACTGTGTCAAACATGTTTGTGTACTAAGTGGTAGGAAAGCTTGAAACACTGTTCAGAGAAACAGATGAGCTATTATCCTGCGAATTCAACGAAACGTTATGCTATGGCTTCAATTTTTTCCTTTTGATGTTTACCACAGTGGCTGTTTTCGAGGCACACTTTGGCTTTGTGAATGGGAGTATCATATGATACATGCGATGCACTGGTTCAACCTTCAACCAACCAACGTCTCGGAGATGGGCCAGCGCCCGCTATGCCAATCACAGACGTTCTTTCATTCATACCAGATGTGTGCGCGGTCATTGTCATGACGACGATGGTCGTGACTGCAGGGAAGAAGTGTGCTAGTAACACTAGATAGTGCTGTCACAAAGCGTGGCAGCGTAATTTGGTCTCGAAAAAGTCAAAATCCATATCCATATTATGTTTTCATGGTGCTACAATGCTACCACCCAGTGCTGTTATTAGACGTGACTAGTCCTGAAGTTTTACTAAATTATGATTTTGAGATATGCTCCGAAGGTGGATCATTCCCTTCACCGTCTCGGCCTAGCGAGTGAAATAGTACTGGGACTAAATATGTGGGGCGTAGAGCACATTACAGGTTCAAGTAACACTTTTGTTTCTACCGGTAGTCATTTGCCTTCAACTCGATAGCAATTTAAGAAAAACTCCTCTGGACACTAACAACCCGGTGATACTTTCACTCAGGCGGCGTCTTAGCTCACAGGGTTACGACCCGGAAGCCAAGGCAAGAATTCAGACATTACGAACAGGAATCCAAGGGGATTTATCTTATTCGGTCAGTCCAAACACATGGATAACGTCAGACACGCGCAGCTAACCACATTTCTGAATGATAGGGCAACCCCCTGAAGACTTGCCCCTTGGCGGTGTGCCCAGATGTGACAGCAAAACACGTACGGATGTGTTCCGATAGGCGTGGGTAATACCCATGCAAGGCTTCGGTGGTTGCACCCCGCTTACTGCGCATTATTGCAACGTTACACTAGCCTATACCTGTCTCCCAGCAGACGACCCCCCCCCCCCCCCCGCTCTGCCACGTTCCGTTTTGGTTTTACTGGTGTCACAAAACCAGCACTGATGCGCATAGTCTGACCCAGTCTCTTGGGGTTACACCATGTTCATGTTCATATAATAGACCGGTGACGTGGTCACGTTACATGTATTTGTGCTGAATACCGTATGAAAATAGTCCAAATATTCATGCAGTTATCACACTGAGTTATTGAAGTCCTTGAGCACATCCAATGTGCGAAGCAGCCGAGGGAATTGCACGAACCCTTCGATCTACGGATACGGAATACTTCACATCGAACTAAACTCGAGCAACCGCAATGTTTTCTGTCAACAGTGGAAATAAAACACGGCTTGCCATGCTACATCGTTTACCCCAAAACATACCGGCTAACCACACAACTACTGCAGCTTCAGTAAGTGCGTCGCAATTAAATGCTTAGCCGCGGCGATCAAACCCCTCCGAGGGCGTCTTTTTGCAGCAGAAAGGAACGCCGCGACACGGCAGCACAGCTAACACGTTGCATGCATAAGTGGTAACGCGACAACAAGTGCGGAACACGCATGGATCAGACTTCTCCTATCCGAGACACACCATCCGCAAAACAGACTCCATACAAACAGCCCGAGTTCTACAGTGCACTACCATATGCCCACCTGAGAACGGTTCTACCGAGGACTACCACAGTCTATCGGTGTCGGCGGCCCAACTCCACCGAAATTCACCGGCCGCGAACGCTGCCAGCCGCCTCCACTCTACAGACATCCATTGGCACGCCGGCGCCGGGCGCCCTCAGAACGGCGAGTTCATGCCGAGCTTGGTGTCGAACTCCAGCCGAGCGCGCTTCTGGTAGCGGATGTTATACTTGAACTCGTACCGCTTCACGAGCTCGTTCACGGCCAGCTGGACGAGCGGGCCGGCCAGCAGCGCGACGGCCAGGTGGGGCGCGGCCGCCGTCGGCCAGCGCGGCGTCTCGCCGGCCATCGCGCAGTCCAGCAGCACGAACGCCGCGGCCAGCAGCAGCGAAAGCGCGGACGCCACCGCCCAGGCGCGGCTTGCGCACGGCCAGCGCTGCCACAGCTGCGCGCGCCGGTGCACGAACGACGCCGACGTCACGCACGAGTGAAGCACGAGCAGCAACAGCAGCGCGTTCTGCACGGCGCGCAGCTCGGCCACCGGATACACGTAGAGGCAGGCGGCCGGCGGGCAGACGGCTCGCAGGCTCAGCCCAAAGAAAACAGTGCCGATAAGCACCGTCGGCAGCACGCGCAGGCCATAGCACCAGGCAACGTAGACCACCTGCGGCCACGAGAGCTGCGCCGAGCACCGATCCTGGGCCTCCTCCATGATGCGCAGGTCGACGGGCGCCGCCAGCAGGGCGGCCGCCAGCAGGGGCACCTGGTGGCGGAACACGCGACTGGAGGACATAGAGCGCGCCACCGGAGCTGCGCACTACACATCAGATGCAGAACAATAAACTGCAAGGGAAACAATGCGGAGCCGAAGCACGGGATGACAAAAACACTAGGGCAAACAATCCGTCTGGACACCGCACCAGTGACGCCCTTCAAGAGCAGAATTAGTAGTGACGAACTTCATGAGGACAACGAACGAACTATTCAAACCACGCGCGATATGGTAGTGCAGTAATGACAAGGATATCTGAGCTGATAACACACAAGCCAGCCCTTCGTCATAAATGCTGTTCCGGCACGCCAGCTGTCGGCTGGGCCGACTGACCTGGACCCAGGCGAGCCAGAGCAGATGGCCGGGCGGCAGCGGCGGCGGCAGCAGCAGCGCTGCGCTCAATAGCGCCAAGCCGGCCAGCGCCACCGCCTGGCACGTCCAGAAGGCGACGGCCGTGCGCAGCCGCTGCACCAGGTGGCGCGCCTCCAGCACCAGCTGCGTCAGCGACACGCTGTCGTCGCGACGCAGCGTCAGCGAGCAGGCGAGCGAGTCGAGCCGCTCGGCCAGCGCCACCGGTCCGCCGCCGGCGCTGGACCTGCCGTCCAGCAGCGGGCGGCGGCAGTCGGCTACGCCGCGGGCGGCGTCCTCGGCGTCGGGCGGCGGCCGTTGCGAGCACAGCTGCGGATGCAGGGGACGCACGGCCAGCGCCGCGTCCGCCTGCACGAACACGGCCGCGTTCTGCGCGTTACCCGACGATCCGAGCACGCACACCACCTCGCCGTACTCCTGCATCACCTGCAGCATGGCGCGCGTGGTGGCCGGCGTGCAGTCGGTGAACAGCGACACCTGCAGCGGCACGTTGTCCACGTGCTCCAGGTGCGGCCGGATCTGCGCGATGCCCTTGGGCAACTTGGCACGGTTGCTCATGTCGAAGTTGACAGCGTCCGACTGGTCGCTGCTGTCGCTGGCGTGGCTGGGCGAGCGTGAGGCGGACGGCGCGCCGTCGCTAAGCGCCGCCGGCGCCAGCAGCGGCCACACGCACTCGCTCTGCACGCGCGTGCGCGACGATTCCTCGCCGCCGGCGGCCGGCTCTGGCGTCTCGCCGACGCGGATGTCGTGCAGCGACACCTGGTCGCCGGCCGCCGGCACGCCGACGTCCATGTTGATGACTGACGGCGCCGACGCACTGAGCGGACGCAGCCGCTCGAGCCCGCGGCCCGGCCGCGGCTCGCCGCCCTCGTCCGAGACAAGCCGGCGCGCCGGCGCGCGGCCCTCGTGCGGCTCGGACGGGCGCCGCGTGCCGTCGTCCAGCAACGAAATGTGACAGTTCCAGCCCGACTCGAGGCCCATCTTCTCGCTGAAGACGCGCGAGCGCAGCTCGTTCTCCTTGCTGAAGTGAACGAAGCGGATGCAAGCCTTCTCCAGGTGGTCGATGAGGCGCACCATGTCAGCCAGCGCCTGGTACTGCATCGTCACCATGCCCGTGAAGATCTGGTTGCACTGTACTTGAATGAGGCCCTCCGTCGAGTCGACGTCGTTCACCTCGGAGCCGTACAGCGAGTCGGTGCTCATATACTGCGGATGCACCGGCTTGTCCCAGAGCTCGACGCCGATGGCGTGACCGTGGCCGGGCACTGGCGAGCGCACGGAGCGGTAGATGTGTCCAGACTCGGCCGGCAGCTCCAGGTAGCGGTCGCTCAGCTCCACGGCCACCTTGGTGGTCAGCGGTCGGTAAGCGAACGCCGAGCAGTACATAGTGAGCGAGTGCCGGTGGTAGAAGTCGAGGATGCGCTTGCGGTCCGCCTCCGAGAGTGGGATGACGTCGGCGCCGTCCCAGAAGTCAGAGCACGAGTCCAGCACCAGGTCGGCCGTACCCTGGCTCACCAGCTGCAGCGAGTTGGTGTACAGCTCGCGCAGGATTACCGAGCTCATGTGCGGGTACGGAAAGCGGATTTTGCTGAAGGAGAACGCGCGCGTCAGCTTGTCGCGCTTGGCCTGGTCCAGCTTCAGGTGCTTGTAGCAGGCCACCTGGGCGTCCAGCTGGAACGCGTCGGCAGCGCGCGGGCTGAAGCCGATCTGGCGCGCCAGCTGGCAGAGGCAGCGCCGCGCCGGCACGGGCACCAGGTCGGCGTCGTCCTGCGCCAGACACACCATGTGGCGGCAGAAGCGCCAGTACTCGGCCAGCGTCTGCTCGCTGCACGTGTTCACCAGCACGGCCAGCCCAATCGGCTTCAGGCGTGCCAGCGAGTCGCGCCAGCGCGGGTCGTCGAACTGGATAGCCCACGGCTCGGCCGGGTTGTCGCGCGTCAAGTCGAGCACCTCGAGCGTCGCGTCTGACGTCACCGGGTCAGCTTCCCCGTCGGAAGCGACGCTGGCGCCGTCCGAGGCCACCTCGTCGCCGGCGCCGCCCTTCAGCCGCATGGTCACCACCTTCTCGGCAGTGGGATTCGGCCAACTGAGAACGCCCTTCTTGTCCACGCAGCAGAGCGAGGTGAGCGTGGCGAGTGTGAACAGCAGGCTGGCCGTATGCGGCAGACTGTCGCAGCGGCCGGCCGCCGTCTCGCGCAGCACGGGCCACACGTGGTGCCAGCGCGGGGCCACGTGCTCGTGCACGCTCGCCTCGTCCATCACGTCCAGGTGGTGGCGGTCGTCGGGCCGCGACTGGCGCATCTCACGCGCGAGCGCCACCAGGCGCGCCTGCGCCAGCCACGCGGCCGGCACCAGGACAAGGCTGCAGGCGAGCGGCAGCAGCGGCAGCAACACGCCGCACAGGCGCAGCAGCAGCAGGCGAGTCAGTGCCGCCGCGCCGAACGCCGAGTCTGGCAGCAGCCAGCGCTGCAGCGGCACCGACACGGCCGCCGCCAGCACCGCAGCCAGTAGCGCCGCCAGCAGCACGGCCGTCAGCAGCCGCTGCAGCTGGCGGCGCAGCGCCGGCGTCGGTCGCTTGCCGCCGGCCTGTAGCGCCAGCCGCAACGACTGCAGATATGGCGCGGTGAGCACGCGGAACTGGCGATTGGGCAGCGCGGCCACCAGGCGCGGCTGCGCCGGCTTCTCGTCGCCGCGGTGGCCGGTGTCGGGCACGTACAGCTCGAGCCGTGCCAGCCGCAGCGGCGGCTCGCCCTCGCACGCCTCCACATCGGCTAGCGCCGCCTCGCCCGGCCGCAGCAGCAGCACGTCACCGCGCGCCAGCAGCGAGGCAGGCAGGTTGACTAGCCGGCCGTCGCGGTAGGTCCACTGCAGACTGATGCAGGGCGATGGCGGCGCGTGTGGGTGCGGGTACTCGGCCTCGGCCCAGCCAGCGTCGGCGGTCGCCGCCGCCGCGCGCCGCAGCCGCGCCGCCAGGCGGCTAGCCTTCGCCGCCATCTCGCTGTCGGCCAGCACCTGCTGCCAGACGGCCAGCGCGGCGTTGGCCGCGGCCAGCAGCAGCACCAGCAGGCCGGCCAGCGCCTCGCCGACGGCGCCATCCGGCTGGAGGCCGGCGCAGGCCAGCAGCGCGCCGCCCACCAGCGCCGCTAGCAGCAGCACCGGCCACGAGAACCATGTGCGCGGCTGGCGCCCAGCGGCGCAGCGGCGCGCGGCGCGCAGCCAGCCGCCGCGCCGCCGCCGCGACGCCAACTCAGCCTCGATGTCCGTGCACAGCAGCAGCAGCGCCTGGCTGGTGCTCAGGCCACAGTCGACTGGCTTCAGTTGTTGATGAACAGTCGCCATCCCACCCACATGCAGTAGGAGAAGGCCACCAGCATGGGCACGGTCAGCGGCAGCACGAGCAGGTAGTAGCCGAGCGTGCCAACCAGTTCCATTCGAGCTGTTCAGCCGCAGCGCGGCGCCGCCTACTGCAGCATGGTTGGCACGGACACCTCACTGTAGACAAAGCAGGTGGTGTGCTTGTTAGAACGCATTCCAATAAACTCTTGATTTCTGTGACATTTGAGATTATCCACTATGTGTGTGCTACACCCTCTCCGTCCCCTTTTGGCACATGCACAATGGTCTTTCATGTTGAGTGGTTTGGTCCACAACGGACAACAGCATTTCGTGTTCTGAATCCTAACTACATACAAGTTTTGTACAGTTGATACCATAACTGCTCATGATGTTCCACCTACGTACACGTTAAGTTGCGTTGGCCCATTTTATTTCGGTGATCTCAGCTGGAAGTGCATCTGAAGCGAAGCACTCGGTGAGTTACACACCAGAGCAAGGCATGAAGATATTATCTTTTAACGTTCGCGGCAGTTTTCCTACGCCATCCCATTGAAATTTAACCAACCTATGTCCTCTGCAGCGAACAGGATAGGATGAAGGACCGGTAGTCCGTGGGGCCTTGAGATATGACAGCTGGCGAGTGACCAGACGGGCGAGCCTCGCTGGTGGTGGCACAGCACCGCCAGACCACAACAACTCACCGCGCCCCTTCCCGGCAACGGCCGGCCGGTGCAGTGATCCAGTGAACCTGTCGAAGTTATCCATTCAACTAGATCTGGATCTAGGCTTTGGGATTCACAGCTTACCAATAAAAGCGTCAATGGCATGCTTCCTTCGGAGCCATAGTCGTTGCCCCAAATCATTCGGAATAAGCAAACCAAATTTCAGATGCTACACATTTTGTGCACTCATGGTGGCGGGCGGCCACAGGTGGAACGTGTAGTATGGCAGGTATAACTTAGGCTGCACAATGAAACAGGCCCAGCTGGTCGTCGTTGCCGCGCCCTACATCTATTGGTGCGTGCCACCGCCCCAGTGGGAGTTTGAGTCAGTCATTACCATGTTTACACGTGCCAAGCACCTAGTGGTCAAGTATTTCTGAATCGGCCTGATCTGATACTTCGAAAGCCATGGGCCTCCGCACAATCCTCGTCATCGCCCAGACCTGTTCCACCCAAGGAGAGAACGTCCAAATGAATTGTGCTGTAGCAGGTGTTTCCTTGTATTTCAGAAATAGTAATATGCTGGTTGAGCCTCAACATTCAGCCTTTGGGACAAAGCATGCATAAATTTTGGCAGCAGAGTAACAGTTCCTTTAGGTGGAAGGAGCTAGTCCCAAAGTTTGATTGTAGCAAGCAAAAGAGCCTCTAAGTGAGGTCAGATGATGTGCCAAAGCATTGAGTGCACTGAATGAAAGTGGGACACAAATTATCAAGTAAACAAGTACAATAGTGCCACCTATCAGCCAAACAGAGAATCTTCTATCTGCTGCTCATGGGTACAAATCCTTGCCAGCTGCTTATACCTATGTGCAGTCACAGGGCACTCCTGCCTGCTGTGGGTCAGCCAACACAGATAACAATCAGATGCTGGTGCTGATGCATCGTGGCCATGACCACGTTATGGGGGTATCTGTCTGTTTGTCACCCTTATCTATGGCGTACCACTGAAGGAGTTCCCCTTATGCAGATGAATCCTTAACAAATCAAACCCTTTTGAAGATCTTGAATTCCTTGGCTCCACATACAACCAAAGCCACTAAAAACTACTAACCTACTAAAACCCACCACAAACCACTACAACCAATAAAACCACCAATGTACAAAAATGTTTGCAGCTTTATGAGACATCTATAAAAAATAACTGGACCATTACCTGCGCTCATTTGGTTCCAATGAGACTACGGTGTTCAGTTACAATGTAAATGCCTCAAGCTTATCTCTTATGCCTTCACTACCATTTCAGACTGATAATATAACTAGGGCTAATTATAATTCCTCTAGTTCATGCTCATAACTGGCATGCCCTTTCAAAGACCTTAAATCCTTTTGTTTCTAAGCTTGATGCACAGGGAACTGAGTGGTCTATTTTGTGTTCTATATGAAAGTTGACCATAGTGAGCAAGACCACCCTCCTGTTCAGATCACAAAAAATACAGGCCATGCTTAGCTTTAGTATAGTGGTAGCACTGCAGTGCTAACTCCAGCTCACATAGACTATATATCTGAGCACTCCAGAAGTCTGGTGCATAGGTCAGTGGCCACCAACTCACCACCAGTTTCAACATGTGGAAAACTGATTCCCCAAGGAGCAATGGTGTTTCAAAAGGAATGTTAAGAAAAAATATTGTAAAACATTTTTCAGACACCAATAATTTAAAAAAGCTCCACACAATTTAACCTGCCCTGAGCTCTACATATGCATGTAATAGTTCCGTGATACAAATATCTGATAAGCACTCATCTCATGCAGGCATTGGGTGCAATCAGCATTTTTATTTATTTTGCAGAGACCTCCTTGCTCCTGCCTCTTGGTCATAATAAGGTAAGCATAACATCCCAAAAACATGATGTTATGCTTAACACAGCAATACAGCATCCACATACACAAATACAGCATTTCAAAAAGATGTTTATTTGCCATCTGGCCCCCAACTGGATACAGGTTTAAAAAGATGGATTTACTTTTGGTCATGAGAAAGGTGTGTCAAAAGTTTAAATAACATTTTGACACAGGTTGGAAATGGCGACTACTGGTACTTCACAAGAGGCTGTCCACGCAGGCCTCCCACTTCCTAAACCAGCTTAATGAACTGAATGAAGTACAAAACTCTGAATGGTGCTGACATCATAAGCACACAAAAGACATGTCATGATGCTTCTACCGCACTCGCTTAGCTCGACACGCCATGTAATGGCAACAAATAGCGTCTTAGCTCAAACCTAATATCCTTCAATCAGATGGATGAGCGCGGCCCACATCGGAAGAATAACAGTGTTAGTCATGACAGGCTATGGCGACCAGAGCGTTTATATAACATAAGCGTATAAGTACCTTTAAGACAGAGTACAATGAAGGCAACAACAACGCACGGAAAATCGCGGGTCTAGGACTTGCTCCCGCTGGCACCCCACCCCCACCTACCCGCATGCAGGGTGACCTTGGTGGCAGTAACCAAGGTGGCGAAGTAGTCAGCTGATGAAGGTGGATGATATACAACAGTCAGTAGTTAGCGACATCGTTTGATTACGTCATCGTACCCGGCACATCATTGATTGAAAGCTAGTGGAAGGCTGTTATGCCTGGAAATCGCGCTGAAGAACGCCATATATGAACGACTGGACAATGATACTTTGGCTGACCTTGATTGCTGCATGGCCGATAAAACCACAGGATTTGAATGACGTTATTAAAGCGTCATGGATACCCGGGTGACCTTGAAATGGTAGCCCTGAAAAAATGTGCCCACCTTCGCGGGCATGTGGGTCAGACACTTGAAAAGTTAAATGTCTTATGAAGGGCGAGGCGGTGAACTGTATCGAATGATCTACAAGATTGCCATTTCAGTTCATAACCACGTACAAATGTTGAACACTCTCTTTAAGTGACCGCTCCGAGCATCACAATCTTATGGTGAAGGAGCACCAAAACCTGCATTTCGGAACCACGTAATCGTTCACGATACTGCTCGCAGCTTCCTCATCCTCTTCTTTCGCTTCAGCACTGTCGCTCCAGTCGTTTACCCCGCCCTCATGCAAGTGGAGATCCAGGGCAGCGGGGAAGAGCCGCAGATCACGACAGTCCCTGCCGCAGTAGGACTGGTTGCCAACTCTGCCGGCTGGCTGATGACGGAACGTCCACGTCTGCTCTCCGGGCAGCCAGGTGAGCACCACTCCTCCAGGCTGCACTGGAAGGAGAGGTCGCGCGCCATCCGACGTTTGAAGTCAGTCGTGCTTCGCTGCTTCGCATCACCTGCTCGGCGGACGACACTGGCCATGTCGGGCCACTGTGGCACGAGATGGGACTTCGATGTCTGATGTCAGGATCTGATGTTGCGCCCCATGATGAGCTGAGGCGACAAATGTCCGATCGCTTCTTGTGGTGTCGCTCGATGCGTCATCAGAGCAAGTTGAGGATCTGGTTGCCGTATGATCCTCTCAGCTTCCTGAACAGCTCTTTCATCGGCTTCGTCGCCCTGTGGACAGTAGGAGCCAGACAGCGTGCGAGCGAGTCTGTAGTGCCGCGCGAATTTTGCGAACTGGGGCTCACCCACTTTCCAATCGGCGTACGAACTCCAAGCCTTCAACGGCGCACTGTCAATGCTGATCAAAATTTCAGTCAAAAGCAGCCGAATCAAGCAAAATTTACGTTTTAATGCAGGTTTCCACGTGGTTTCCACACCACGCTTCATTATGGTAACGTGTGTTCTCCCCAAGGTGAACGGAATATGCTGCACATGCCAGCATTAAGGCTAGGTGTTCGTAGTGCAGTTGTGCTTTGTATCCTGCGCCCCTGCTGGGGCGGGGCGCGGCACGTGGTCAGGTTCGCAGGCCGGCCCCGGCTGCGAGGCCCTCGCTGTCGGAAGTCGCCGTGGGGAGAGCGGAGAGGGTAGGTGCGCCGGGAAGGGCAGCGGCGCGGCTGAGGCTCCGGGCAGAGATGACGAGAAGAAACTCTTCGTCGGTGGCCTCAGCTGGGAGAGCTCAGGAAAGGAGCTGCGCGAGTACTTCGGCGCGTTCGGCGAGATCGAGTCTGTGAACGTGAAGACAGATCCCAACACTGGCCGGTCACGAGGCTTCGCATTCCTCGTCTTCTCGTCCACCAAACCATCGAGAAGGTACTGAACAAGGCTGAGCACATCATCAATGGCAAGAAGGTGGACCCAAAGAAGGCCAAGGCGGGTCACAGCAAGGATCTTCGTCGGCGGTCTCAAGCCAGAGATGTCCGATGACGACATCAAGAACCACTTCAGCGCCATGGGCACGGTGGTGGAGGTCGAGATGCCCATGGATAAGATCAAGAACCAGCGCAAGGGCTTTTGCTTTGTCACCTTTGAGCAGGAGCAGGTAGTGTAGGACCTGATCCGTGTCGGCAAGACCAAGATCAAAGACATCAAGGTGGACGTCAAGAAGGCAACCCTGAAGCCGGACGGCGGCCGCAGTGGCATGCGCGGCGCGGCGCGCGGCGGCCGGGGTATGATGAGTGGAGGCCGCGGCGGTCGCGGTGGCTGGGGCGGCGGCTGGAGCGGTGGAGCAGCCTCTCGCGACCGGTGGAGCGGTGGAGCAGCCCCCCACGGCTGGTGGAGCGGTGGAGCAGCCTCCCGCGACGGGTGGGGCGGTGGAGCAGCCTCCCGCGGACAGTGGAGCGACGGGTCGGTCTCCCGCAACCGAAGTAGCGACGGGTTGGCCTCCCGAGGCCGGCGGAGCAGCGGCCGGCCACAGCCAGCCGCTGCGTGGCTGAAAAGGCGGTGTGGCTGCTGATGATGGTGCCGGTGTGACAGGCGACGGTTACGAGCGAGTGTTGCCGCGTCGGAGCGGACGAGAGCGAAGGCCCGTGCGATTTTGTACTCGTTGATCATTAGGATCAGGGTGGGGTGTTCGTAGTGCAGCTGTACTCTGTATCCTGCGCCGCTGCTGGGGCGGGGCGCGGCACGTGGTCAGGTTCGCAGGCCGGCCCCGGCTGCGCGGCAGATGCGCGCCGCCGCCGCTGTTCGCACGGCCCCGGGTCACGGCCCCCGCTGTCGGGAGTCGCCGTGGGGGAAGCGGAGAGGGTAGGTGCGCCGTCAGGGGCTGCTGTAGTTTGAGACCAAAATACAGAGAAGTTGTGGTGAAATACTTGGCGTCTCATTACACTAGGTGAATTAACATGCCCCAGGATCAGGTCCAGTTCACAACATTGTCTATTAGTGAACCACAGATCGTCAGGCAAGTTTAATTCCTGTTTAAGCTTTGCAGTGAACCACTGACATATTGCCCCTCGTTTCTCCATGGTTTGGTTTCGAGTTTTAGGAACACTCCTGTATGACATAGGTGAAGTTTGAGTCTTTTTCAGAATACTAGACGATTCCGTTAACCTGGACAGCTCGAGCTCTCGGTGGCCAAAGGAATTTGTTCTAGGAACGTGTGACTGACGCCACAATGACGGCGATTTTGGCTCTCAAGTTCTTAAAGGCTTTGCTCTTTCCGAATGAGAGAATCCTCAACTCCTACCTTGGGCTGAAGAGTTATGATATTTTGAGACCGTTGCCTCTTTCACAGCCCATAAAGGCAAGCCAGTTTTAAGCGAATTCACACGACATATCAAGTTGTTGCATGTTTTTCGACTAAAAGTGCTTTTATCTGAACTATCAAGCTTGTCTTGACCAATCCATAACGTTGGCAGAGGCAAAGGGTACGGAAAAAAAACGTTTACCGTGGCATGTGGCACGTGGACTGCACGTGAGTTTGTACTTGAGAAAATAACCTGCTTATCCTCGAGCAACGTCTGCTATCAAAACAAATGTCACATTTTGGGGGATGATCGATGCGTTCAATTTGTACATTGCTATAACAAAACTGCTCGTGCCCCTGGACCTTTGTCGCTGATACGAGTCTGACTGCATGAATGCAAGCACAGAAATCCAACATTTTCACGCCCTTCTCCTCCGGTGGGGGGGGGGGGGGGAGGGGCAGTGAGGCACCATCTTTCCTTGGTCGTGGGATTGAGAGCTCAATGATCCCACGGGCAGTTTGGCAGGATTGTGAAGGCCCCATTCACGTCACACAACCAGACTAAATTCGCCTTCCGCAAGGGTCTGCATTTGGTAAGAGTAGGGATTAACCCCCGGCCCTAGCTTCTTAGTTTTGCCTGGGTCTCACATTACCCCGTTAGATTTACAGGTGGTAATGCAGGGATCCTGGGCACTGAGGGAGCTGCTTTGCGGGTCAGTCGGGGCACCCTTCCAACGCATGTCTTTGGCCAAAAGTTCTGCCGTGACAAGAACACAAGAATTGTCACTAATGATGTCCGATTTGCAAGACCTAAAGCATCTTGTTCGAAATAGTGTAACCACTCTTCGCTGAAATAAGGACATGAACAAATCGTGTGGTGAACCGTGAGTAGTGCATTGCAGTGAGGATAGTGAGACCGTTCTTCTCCGCACAGAAGACAGCCATGCGTCGCGTGTGCGTGACCGATAAGTACCTGGCGAAGGACTACTTCTTCTCGTCTCGCGTCACGTGAGCTCGACGGCCATAGTAGCTTGATGGTTTTCACCCTACCGTTTACTGTGAATGTAGTCCTAGAAAGGCTTCCATTCGCCTTTGATGAATGCCATGATGGCAGGGTTAACAATTCTGGCCGGCCGGGGCAAAGAGCGGGCGCAAGGTGCGCGCTGCTCGTTTTGCCTCCGGGTCGGCGAGCTCTGTATTCGGAGTCACATCGCGGCTGGACCACTCCACACGCAACGACGAACTGCCGCGCACAACGTCGACAGACAGACTCCTAACAGCGGGGGCCGTGACCCGGGGCCGTGCGAACAGCGGCGGCGGCGCGCATCTGGCGCGCAGCCGGGGCCGGCCTGCGAACCTGACCACGTGCCGCGCTCCGCCCCAGCAGGGGCGCAGGACACACACAATTGCACCACGAACACCACACGGCCAACATGTTCAAGATGGCCAAGAAATGGAGCTCTGCTGGCAACGCCTTCTGCGAGGTGGCCAACCTCAGCCTGAAGAACCAGAATCGGCACGATGCAGCTACTAACTTTGTCGACGCTGGAAAATGCTGCAAAAAGTTCGGCCCGAATGAGGCCGTCAACTGCGTGATGAAGGCGATTGAGATCTTCACGGACATGGGCCGATTCACCGTGGCGGCCAAGCACCACCAGACGATCGCAGAGATGTACGATACGGAGCTAGTCGACCTGGACAAGTGCGTCAAACACTACGAGAAGGCGGCCGATTTCTTCCGCGGCGAGGGGTCCATCTCGTCGGCCAACAAGTGCCTGCTCAAGGTGGCCCAGTTCGCCGCCCAGACGCAGGACTACGAGAAGGCCATCAGCATCTACGACCAGGTGGCCGGCACCTCCCTGGAGAGCTCGCTGCTGAAGTACAGCGCCAAGGACTACTTCTTCCGGGCGCTGCTGTGCCACCTGTGCATCGACGTCATCAATGCCAACAACGCCGTGCAACGCTACCAGGAGATGTACCCGGCGTTCCAGGACTCGCGCGAGTGCGGGCTCATTAAGACCATCTGCACCCACCTGGAGGAGGAGAACGTGGACGCGTTCACCGAGACGGTCATCGAGTACGAATCGATCTCGCGCCTCGACCAGTGGACCACCATGATGCTGAACCGGATAAAGAAGACCATACAGGAGAACCTGAAGTAGGCGCGCCGCCTGCCGCCGAGTCCACGTGGCCGGCCGGGGGAGGCCCCGCGCCGCCGACGAGTCCACGCCTCGCTCTGTGGGGTGCAAGTCTGCTGGTTTATTACCTTGTTGGTGCGATAGTGTCGCTGACGGCTGCTTTTCTACCCGCAGGCGATAGTCTGGGGCCTGGTTATTATATAGCCATGTATTGTTGAGTTATACGGCGCCGGCGTGCGGGTATAATTTATGTGTATCGGTAGCTTGCGGTCGGATGACTACCCTGGCGGGGCCGTTTCGGGCTGGTCTATGCAGTACAGGATGGTTTCGGGCGTGTGGCGGGATCACAGTGGGTTTGGGAGTGCCCCATGTGATGCTAAGCTGCACATTATAGTGTGCGAATACCTTTGCGCCAGCCGGAGACGTCTTTCGCCCCCACCTGCTAGCTACCATTCCAAGTGTTTCACCACATCTTCTCTGTATTTTGGTCTCGCACCGCAGCAGCCCCTGATGGTGCACCTGCCCTCGCTGCTCTCTCAACGGCGACTCACCACAGCGGGGGCCGCGAGCCGGGGCCGTGCGAACGAGCTGGGGCCGTGCGAACTGCGGCGGCGGCGCGCATCTGCCGCGCAGCCGAGGCCGGCCTGCAAACCTGACCACGTGCCGCGCTCCGCCCCAGCAGGGGCGCAGGACACACACAACTGCACTACGAGCACCGCACGGCCAACATGTTCAAGATGGCCAAGAAATAGAGCTCTGCTGGCAACGCCTTCTGCGAGGTGGCTAACCTCAGCCTGAAGAACCCGAATCGGCACGATGCAGCTACTAACTTTGTCGACACTGGAAATTGCTACAAAAAGTCCCATCCGAATGATGCCGCCAACTGCCTGATGAAGGCGATTGAGATCTTCACGGACATGGGCCGATTCACCGTGGCGGCCAAGCACCACCAGACGATCGCGGAGATGTACGAGACGGAGCTAGTCGACGTGGACAAGTGCATCAAGCACTACGAGAAGGCGGCCGACTACTTCCGCGGCGAGGAGTCCACCTCGTCGGCCAACAAGTGCCTGCTCAAGGTGGCCCAGTTCGCCGCCCAGACGCAGGACTACGAGAAAACCATCAGCATCTACAACCAGGTGGCCGGCACCTCCCTGGAGAGCTCGCTGCTGAAGTACAGCGCCAAGGACTACTTCTTCCGGGCGCTGCTGTGCCACCTGTGCATCGACGTCATCAACGCCAACAACGCCGTGCAACGCTACCAGGAGATGTACCCGGCGTTCCAGGACTCGCGCGCGTGCAAACTTATTAGGACCATCTGCACCCACCAGGAGGAAGAGAACGTGGACGCGTTCACTGAGACGGTCATCGAGTACGAATCGATCTCGCGCCTCGACCATTGGACCACCATGATGCTGAACCGGATAAAGAAGACCATACAGGAGAACCTGAAGTAGGCGCACCGCCTGCCGCCGAGTCCACGTGGCCGGCCGGGGAGGCCCCGCGCCGCCGACGAGTCCACGCCTCGCTCTGTGGGGTGCAAGTCTGCTGGTTTACTACTTTTTTAGTGTGATGGTGTCGCTGACGGCTGCTTTTCTACCCGCAGGCGATAGTCTGGGGCCTGGTTCTGATACAGCCATGTATTGTTGAGTTATACGGCGCCGGCGTGCGGGTAACAGTTAACAGAAGCTGGCTGATACGTTGTCTACTTAGTAACGCGCCAGGCTAGGGCGATAGTCGCGAACAATTATTCCACCCATCTATTCCACCATTCGTATTCATCATCATCACCCATCATATGGCCTGAGGACCTGAGGACCTGCGAGCGGTGCCGCCGCTGTGCCCGCTCCATGTCTTCGCTGCCACGCGTCAAAGGAGCGGGCACTGAGCTGCGTCCCCACCCCCTCGCGAGCCGTGTCCTTTCACCTGCTCTCTTGGCTGAGTTCCAGGCCAACGCACTCGCGCACTTCGGCTGTGTCGCACGCGTCTGAGGAGTGCGGTTCAATGTTCTTGTTCATTGATAACAAGCCGACGATGGCAAATAAATCGTGTAATCTTGGCCTGAAAAACGCCATTTATGAAGATGCTGATAAAAAAGCCGAACAGGGATCCTTGCGGGACGCTATGGGATCGACAAAGGGAGAGGGATCCGTCTTTCACCAGCTGCATCTGGTCAGCAAAGTAGCTCTGAAACCAATTGAGGTTGAGGCCGATGTAGAGTTGAGGGTGACTGTAGTTATATGGCCTACACAACAGGACTGAAAAATCAACACCGTCAAATGCTTGGCTCAAGGGGCAGATGTTTCCGTGACAGGCATTCTTTGGTGTTGACGCCGAAATGAAAAGGCAGTTCTAGCCCGCGGATAAATGTGACAAACACGTGCCGAACTCAGGACTGAAGGACATGTGCCGTGCAGTATCGAATGTTATTGGTATGCCATACGGTGGACGTGCACCAAAAGCAAGATGCATGCCCCTAAGTGTCAGCAAAGTACCAAACGAAATGTTCAGAAAGCTTATCGCCGCTGCTGTAGTCCTGTTTCTACAGATTGTCTGCGCGTGCCAGCCGGTGCATGCCAGCCGACTGAGGGCTCTCACTTTGATCCTGCAAATTGGACGTCATAGCGTGCATCGTCAGCTGTGTTATGCCGTGCAGGCACGTGGGCGGTCATCGGCGTGCATTTCGATATCTGGACCCACCATTCCTGTCACGGGTTTGCTTGCATCACATCTGCAATACCTTCAACTATCGATTTGTTGGTTCAGAGGGTCAGGAATTTTCCTTTCTTTTAAAAAAGGACGCGCAGCGCACGTCATCACACCCTTTATGGAGCGTCAGCGACTGCATAGGGCACATAAGCGCTCAGGCATAGGGCACATCATCGGTGCAACCGCAATTCGAACCCGCGCTCCGCACGTGGAAGTTCGACGCGCTAACCACTGGGCCATTACTCCCACTCAGAGGCAGGATACATGACCTCACGCGCCGCCCCAACAGAGCAGCCTGCGCAGATCAGCGTATGGGGCTCTGATAGAGATGATGAAGAACTCACCGAAGGGCAGCTACGCCATCGTGCAGAAGATGGTAGTGGTGCTCCCGGAGCGACTCAAGCACGTCTTCCACATGGAGAACCACATCCACAACAGCAGGTGCGCCGGGCAGCGCCGGCTGCCTCGGACCGGTCCGGTGCGTGTCTAGCGTGAATAACGTAAAAGATCGCGCACAAAATATGTTCAGAGGTGGGAAGTGAGATAACTCAACATCAGGCGTGTTGCAGCCTGCTGATGTGTGCACATTCAAGTGTGGCCCTTTCGAGGATTATGGGACTGGAAATATCAGCATGTGACAACCATCACTTGGTGAAGAATTGGTACGCCTTCGCCTGTGCGGTCCTTGGCGTGCATTTCGACACGTGGCCCCACCATCCATGTCATGGGCTTGCTTGCCTCACATTCATAATACCACCAACTGCCGATTTGCCGGTTTGGGGACAGGTTTTTTCCTTTCTTTTAAAAAACGGATGGCAGCGCACGTCGTCAGGCCGTTTTATGGAGCGTCAGCGACTGCATAGGGCACATTAGCGCTCAGGGGCAGTAGTGCAACCGAAATTCAAACTCATAGGAAACAAAATATTGTTGCATCGCGCTGTGAGGGGCCTTGCTTGTTAACCTCCCGCCGCCTGTTAGCTTAAGCCGGCCGCCACGTTGGCTGCCTCGGTCTGCTGCAGTGCGGACCGGCTCTAATCTCGCCATGGCGGCGGGCTGGCCGATCAGTGGCGGCGCTCACCGCGCTGGCGCGCTCTGACTCTGCTGGGTCGGGGCCGCCTGGCCGCCGTGGCGGCCTGCCTCCGCCCGCCTCTGCGCGGGCCGGGCGCCTTCTCGAGCTGCCTGGGCCCCTTGGGGATGCCGGCCGGTGAGCCGAGGCGCTCATTCTTGCGTGGAACAGCTGAAATACAAGGTCTCAGAGCAGCGTGCTGTAAGCGACGCTGGAGAGGAAGCGACGCACGGTTACAGTGTAGCTTACAGTCGCACTCGTGGCGAGCGTCCTTAAGTGCCGAGAGCGCTATCTTCAACATCGCAATCGTCATCGTCTGACACGTGTATCTCATACCACAGAAGTAGATGCAAAAGTACGACGTACTTAGATGGACGATGTAGCCCAGTGGAGCGAGTGTTTGGCTCACAGGCGTTAAGTGCGAAGCTCGAGCATAGCTCCTGGCCAGCAGTGCCTTCCCCACCGCGGAAATCGGCGTGAGGAATTTCGACGCTGAATGACGTGAGTTGCTGATATGTCGTTAGGCCTCAGTCACAATTGTATACGTCCCAGGTTTTAAAGCAGCAGGTTTAAAGCAGTAGGTCAGCCGTTGTGGTGTCAGCCGATACGTTGGCAATTGAAAATGCACCTTTGGAGAATTGTGGCGGGGACAAGATCAGTATGTTAACCATCACCTCACTAGAGAGTATGGGAAGAAATATGCAGTCCTGGTATGAATACCCACCTTTCTCTGTTTAACATCAAAATGAGGACCATCAGGTTCGAGATGTGGATGAAAGTTTGGTTGCCGGCGTAATGGACATTATAATTACAGCACAGAAACAGCGGACAATGTGTACCGTTCATTTCACGCCAAGAGTCTCACAAAAATGTTGCTAAGTGATGTAAAGACATCAGTGTGCATGATAACATGTCCAAAGTGGCACATGTCAATAAAGGGGATATCAAAGGCGGACAGGCATGGAAATGTTAATCAGCTTTCATTCCAAAATCTGTATCGCCTCGACATGCCGCCCGTGCGCTGCCACAGCTTGCTGGACTGTTCTGACCGCTGGCAAGGAAGCTGCCGAATGCTCAGAGCACTGTGCCAGTCGCCAGGCCCGCGCGTAGGCCGCCGCAAGTCGGACGGGGCTGTAACGACAGACACAGCTCGAGAGAAAACAAACTCCAGGTGGCCACCGAAACGGCGCCAGCCTTGCATGATGAAAACAACCTGTGAACGGTGTCGCCCCTGGACCCGCAACACGTAGAAATTCGCTGCAACGCGTCCACGGACCGACGGGCTGGGCTGCATTCGTCCGAAATCGACCCCTTCACCCGCTCTTCGGACACAGCGCCACGCTAGCACCCCTTCGCACCTTTTTCGTGCCGCATGTGTGTGGTGATGTTGCCGTAATCTGAATGAGGCTGCGCAGTGGATGAATGTTCGTATTTGTTGGTAACGTGTATGCGATGCGTGGATGTGGTATGCAAGACTCTTTTGGGGGGCAAAGCGTCCACAGTGTCGCTGCAAATAGACATGGAAACGACGGCGATGCTGAGTCAGTGCCGGCCGAGCACTGCCAGGCGACACTACGGCTTGACAACCAACCGCTGCGATCTACAGAGATCAGCAAATCTCTGCGCAAACGTTCCAGACCGGACACATTCCGTAGCTGATTATCGGTATTACCGATATCCTCCTGAAGAAGCAGAAGCCGAATAGCTGGCCTGCTCCGAACACAGTCAGCATCACTGTAGTGTTGGAAGAGCCAGTGCTGCCCAGCAGTGTCTCCTGCATGCAGCAGGGGATGACGAAGATCACTAAGGTAAAAGCCAGCTCGCCGTGGACGAATCCAGCACTGATTCGAATAGCCGAACAGCTGGCCTGCTCCGAACAGACATCATCACTGTAGTGTTGGAAGAGCCAGTGCTGCCCAGCAGTGTCACCTGCATCCTGCAGGGGATGACGAAGATCACTAAGGTAAAAGCCAGCCCGCCGTGGAGGACTTAAGCGCTCAGAAAGTCGCTGCATGCGATCTGCTCTTGGACTATCAAACTTGCTCCGTTCTCGCAGTTTTACATACAATGACACATTCCTCCCAGTTTGGCGGTCATTCGATTTCAAAGTCGCAGGGATTTTATGCGATATACAAGATGAAATGTCTATGCAATTCCTTTGTAATATATGTCATATAAGCTATGATGTATGCTTATATATATATATATATATATATATATATATGTAATATACGTGACTTGGTGTTCTTTATCTCATTTCATGACCATGTCAAAGATGCCACAACTACATGCTTTTGATCTTTCAGACCTCACAGTCCTGGAAAGTGATACAAGAGTGGGTCACCACCGTAGATTGCAGAGGTACATGTTTCATGTTGAGATCATTTTCCACTACTGGTAAAGGGTCGTTAAAAGCGTTAATGAGTCCTGTCTATAAAGGACTTTTGTTCGCGAGTTGTGTTAACAAAATATGGGCATCTTATGTAAAAGAGCTCAGATTACATAGAAACGTCCGCGAAAGGAATACGGCACCCCATCACTTGACACTAAAATTGTGATGGGGGGATTCTCAAAACGCTGAGTTGTCTCTGCTACGGAGCTCCTTCCTTCGTTTCACATGTCGCCAGTGTTAAATCTAGACTAAATTAAACAAACGCGATGCACTTTGGGCCAGCCTGAGCCGTGCTTGGGTGCCCAACACTGGCGTATCACCTCGGCAGAGCAAGTGTGGGGAAGTGCAATCAGCTGATATGGTTCCAAAAATGTAGGACATAGTACATGTAGGACACCTGAGGACATAATATTTTGTAAGAAAGGTATGAAAGTCTACGTCTGTGAGTCCGGGAATTACACAGTACCTAAAGCTATGAAAGCAATGGCAATGTACATGAAAATCACGCCAAGTGGGCAACTGATCCAAGGACCGGCCGCGAAAATGGTAAAAGGCCCAAACAGTATTTTTGGAAATCGTACTGGACGGCCAACGAGCGCAAAGAGACCAAGGAAATAAAGAGATACGCTACAACTGCGTAAGTGAGTAAAAAAATAAGCGACATGGGAAGCTTTGCCCAGCCCCGACAGACTGTCACCACTCACCGCCGCAGGAGTCACCAAGTCACAACCGCACACAAGCACATGAGATGGCCAATACGGTATAGAAGATTAATACACGCCTTCTCTGTGTTGTCAGCTGGTATTGGTGGCAAAAAAAACGCGCTTCAAAGGATTGTCAAGGCATTTCCACGGTGGCTAGAAAAACTGTATTAGCTTTAGCAAAAGCCCAAAATCGTGTTTTTTCTAGCCTCAGTGCTCTGTGTTTCACGCAAGGTGTCACCACGTTGAATGGCAAAGCCTTGAAAAAATATATCACCTTG